GCTTGAAAGCTTTAATTCTAAGAGAGAACCCATATGCTATGTATGTTCATTGTTTTGCTAACCAGCTTCAGTTGTTAGTTGTTTCTGTGGCACGTCGAAATTTTATGCTTGGTGATTTTTTCAACATGCTTGTTATTATTGTGAATTTGGTTGGTTCATCATGTAAGCATGTAGATGCTCTTCGATCAAGTTATCATTCTAATATTCTGGAGAAGCTTCATATTAGGGAACTTTCTAGTGGAAGTTGTCAATTTCAAAAAATGAGTTTGGCCCGCCCAGGTGATACTAGATGGGGCTCACATCTATTGACAATAACTCGTTTCATTAATATGTTTAATGCTATCATAGACGTTCTTGAGAATATATCAGAAGATGGCGTAAATTCAGATAAAAAATCAATGGCCATAAGAGAGATGGACACTATGCAAGATTTTAAGTTTGTGTTTAGTCTCCACTTTATGTTTGAAATTCTTGCAATTACAGATGACCTTTCACAAGCTTCATAGAAAAAAATTCAGGATATTCAGAATGCTATGAGTGCATTGTAGAACATGAGAGATAATGGTTAGGATACTTTGTTGAGTAGGGTGATTGTTTTTTGTTGATAGAAATATTTTAGTGCCCAATTTGGAGGATATTGTAGTAGTGAAAGGTCGACCTAGGCATGGAGCTCAGGGGGTGACTTATTATCATCAATTTACATTGTCATGTGATAGACTCAATCTTACAAGAGTTGAATGATTGTTTTTCAGAAACAACTACCGAGCTCTTTCATTGCATTTCGTGTTGAAGTCCAAAAATTCATTTGCAGCTTTTGATCAGGCTAAATTGCTACGTCTTGCTCTATTATATCCTTTGGACTTCAATAGTGAAGAGCTTTTATTACTTAGACCTCAACTTGACAAGTTTCTTATGCTTGTGAGAATGGACTAAGCTTTCTTTAAGCTCAATAGCATATCTTGTGTAGCTCAGAAGATGATTGAAACTGGAAGTTATTGTTGTTTTTCGTTGGTTTATAGGTTGATCACCTTGGTTTTAATATTACATGTGGCAACTGCAACTGTTGAAAGGGTTTTTTCTGCTATGAATCTAATCAAGAGTGACTTGCGCAACAAAATGAGAGATGACTAGCTGAATGATAATTTGACGGTTTACGTGGAAAAAGATATTTTTATACAAATTGAGAATGAGGCAATATTGCAACGTTTTCAAAAAATGAGACCCCGTAAAATGCAATTGTCTAAGTTTACTGTTACAGAGTAGGGT